TTCTTTGGGAGGAAAAACGCTTGCAAAAGTGAATATTTGCTGTTAACTTAATCCCTTTGCATGGGATTAGTATTATCTGTGGACATTGTATGATATAGAAATCCCCTCCCACCATGTGACTTTGCAACTGTGCATATTTCATAGTGTAACTGGAAGTTTACTCTCCAGACTCTTGTAATCATACTTAATACCATTGCTGGGGCCTAAATAAGAGCTAAATTGATTTAAAATAAGACACATCAAACATTAACATAAGATAAAAAAAAATATTTTTAAAACACTGTTTCTTATTTTTATTACAGTATGAATGAAAGAATCAAAGGCAGTGCACTAAGTGGTGTGCCTAACACTATAGCCTTTATTTGATTTTAATTACAACATAGTCTTACGCTTTATTGCTTAATTAAAGTAGGTTAACAGAATCAATTCAGTCTGGAATTCCTTGACCTTAATCTAGTGGGCAATATCTGTAGTCATTCTTTATACCTGAATTGTCAATTTTGCATTGTTTCCAGTCGTAATTGGCGAACGCAGAGTCGTAATGATCAGCTCGAGGTGTAGGATTTAGAATCATCTACGATCCAATTATGAGCTACGTGAGGGGTATCACAATGATTTCAATCAATGCAAATGTAGACCTGCTGTTTCTTTAGAGAGAAATCCACAGTGCATTGCATTCTAGCCCATTTCTTTAAAGGCATAGTTCACCCAAAAATAAAAAAATTATGTCATTTACTTACCTTTCACTTGTTTGAATTTCTTTTTTTTCTGTTCAGCACAAAAAAGATGGAAACATATAACCATTCACTTCCATAGTATTTGTTTTTCCTACTATGCAAGTCAATGGTTACAGGTTTTCATCTTTCTTCAAAATATATTAATTTGTCTTCAACAGAATAAAAACTCCAACTTTGGAACCCCTTGATAGAATAGTGTTATACACTGCCTGACAAAAGTCCTGTCGTCGGTCCCAGTTGTAAGAGCAACAAATAATAACTTGACTTCTAGTTGATCATTTGAAAAAGTGGCAAAAGGTAGATTTTTCAGATGAACCATCTGTTGAGCTGCATCCCAATCATTACTAAGACCTATTGGAACCCACATGGACCGAAGATTCTGACAGAAATCATTGAAGTTTGGGGAAGGAAAAATCATGGTTTGGGGTAACATTCAGTTTAGGAGCGTGTAAGAGATCTGTAGAGTAGATGGGGACATCAACAGTCTGAGGTATCAAGATATTTGTGCTGCACGTTACATAAACTACAGGAGAGGGCAAATTCTTCAGCAGGATAGCACTCCTTCTCATGCTTCAACCTCCACATCAAAGTTCCTGAAAGCAAAGAAGGTCATTGTGCTTAAGTTTTGGCCAGCCCAGTCACCAGAGATGAACATTATTGAGCATGTCTGGGGTAAGATGGAGGAGGCATTGAAGATAAATCCAAAGAATCTTTACTAACTCTGAGAGTCCTGCAAGAACGCTTTTTTTGCCATGATGACTTTATTATTAAGTTATTTGAGTCATTGGAGACATGTATGCATGCCGTCCTCCAAGCTCATGGGAGTCCTACACAATATTAATTCTTTTTCACTGCACCATGATTTTATATTCTATACTGTACTTTCTTTCTGTTAACTGACAAGACTTGTCGAAGCAAAGTCAGACTTTACTGTCCTAATGAAATAATTAAAAATCAACGCATGATCATATTTTATTTTGGTTAAATCAGCGTTATCTAGAGGCTCTTGCCTCATATAAGCCATTTCTGATACCAAACCATCAACCACAAGTTATTTGTTGTTCCTAAAACGTGGATAGGCGACAAGACTTTTGTCAGGTATTGTATATATTTTTTTAATTTATGTACTTTATCCCAGATATTTCGAGTATTGTTAAAATTTAACAAGGGACACAGGTGGTGTCCTATGTCAATGACATTAACATAATATTAAAATGTATCCAGCATGGTAAAACAGCTCTGCTTCTCCAAGTGATCACGATTGGAAGAACTAGAAGTGGCAGTCTTTTTCATAATAATAACTTTGCTGCTCTTGTGTCACGAGAGCTTGTTTGCAACCACTTAATGGTGAATAAATAATGAGTAAACGTTCATTTGGGGGGGAACTATCCCTTGATATATGGGATGAATATAGTATCACAGGCTAAAGTCCAGTCAAGAAACATATGAACACAATTCTGCAGAATGAGATGACATGTTGAAACAGAAGAGAAAGGCACATTTGAGGGAACCTTCACACAATATTTGATTGGGAATTGAGGATGGCACTGCTTGATCTATGGCTTAATTTAAACCAAAATCCTTTGTGGACTGTAAAGTTCAACAGGTGTGGGCTGTTTGAATGTTGCGTATTATGTGTGCAGACAAAACCAAATGCACTTGTGAGCCGGTTTTAAATCTAGGGCAAGTATATCATCAATCACCCACTTAGTACATCTTCAGAGGGGTTTATTTTTCCCTCCCTCAAACATTCGTTGACAAGCCACAGTCAAGAACTTCACATCTTCGTGAACAAGAATAGACCTTAAGACTTTTTGTTCAGTTAGTGACAATTGCTAGGAAGAAACTAGAGAGGAAAGCTTGACACAGGAAGCCTCTTGATCTTTACGACTGTGATTACCATGGAAGAAAAGATGATTTTGGTCTGGTTTTGTGAGTGTCTCTGCTGTAGAAAATGGAGAAATGTTTCAGTCAATCTCTATCTTCACCAATGCTGAAGATCTATTCTGAGGACAAGCACTGCGACGTTTACTCAGGCAGTTAGGCTATCACAAGTCTCCCCGCTGGGACTCAGTCATCCTGTCTCACTGATAAAGCTCTTTTGTTTCCCCTGCTATCAGACCTCACCTTTGTTAGACATGTAGGGAAGCAGTGATTTGTGGTTAGAAACCAGCAAAACCCACGTTTGGGGAAAGTACAGTTTTCAAATTTTAAATGCACAATATGTAATTTTTATTTATTTATTATTCAAATATTCCCACATAACCCACAAGAATACGGTTATAACATTTGCTGACTTACAATATGCCAAATGTTTTGATGAATATTTAAATTTAACAAGTGATACAGATGGTGTCCTGTGCTGATGACATTATAACAAAATAATAAAATGTATCTTAGCATGGTAGAACAGCTATGCTTCTCCACATGATCACGTTCGAAAGACCTGGAAGTGGTAGACTGTGTCATAATAAAAACTCTGCTGTGTACAGCATCAGCAATTGCTCTGTCATCTTATTTTGCTTTTTGATGGCTTTCAGCTTTAAGGTCTTAGCACACTGAAGTCTGACATTTTTTCGCATTCATGTACACAAACCTTGACACTGAGTCCGATGCGTATTAATTGATCAATTCCGAAAAAACGCAAAACCTTTTCGGAGTTAATTCAAGCAGTGATACTTTGTTCTCCTCTCTTCTCCAAAGTAGAATAGATGAATAGGCTACATGGGCTGTTTTGTTAATTCAATATTGCATAGAAAGGAAGGAGAGTTTTCCTTATCAAAGATCTGCGCTGGATTATCCCCAAACGCAAAGTTTATTACAGGAAATCAGTTGAATTTTGATACATTGCTTGTGATACTTTACACGTTTATGCATGTAAACAAATCTAAAACAGAGACTGGCTGTACCAAAGACATTTTATACATGGAGACTGTGCTGACAGTTCGGAGCAGCTGACCGAAGCGGACCATGAGGCATTTATCTTTCTATTATAATGTCTACACACACACACACACACACACACACACACACTAAACAGCAGCAGGGAGATGTGTGACAGTAACTGAATCTAGCATAGGGGATTTCAACTGTCCACCACATTCTGTCTTTAGTTTATGCTCAGTATTTGTCATAAAGTTATCTGTGGCTCAAGTGACCACATTCTGTATTTAGCTTTTCTCTTGTATGGTGGCTCTGATCTGTCAAAACTCCTCTCAAACTGCTTTTTCGGATGCAAAAAATTAAACCCAGTTTGATATTTAAATTATGATTTATTTATATTTTTATGACTGGTGAAAGTTTGTCAATAAAGCGTGTCAGTATGGCAGTGTTGTTAATAGAATGCGTCAATACGATTCAGCCTATCAGTGTGTCAATAGAGGCAGTGTGTCAATACGAATGACAATGTGAGGTTGATTTTTTTTTTTTTATGTGCAAAAATTACAGAAGAAAATTTTGAAATTGGTGTGCAATAACCTTTTACTTTGCTTAATACTGAAGTCTGATAACATGTAATAAAGACTTTAACTATCATGATTGCATACTGAGACTGCATCATTAAACTACGCCTTTGTTTGTTGTGATTATGTGCTTTCTAGTGGTGAAAATTACATATTGTACCTTTAATTGTTATAAGTGCATATTGGTCTCATTTGAAAACTTGGTTTCTCTTTAGCCACACTTGGTACTAAGCTGCTTTTATATTTTAAAAAAAAAATTATTGAAGGATGCTAAATACAGGTGTCAGCTGGATCGAAAATCCTTTGTGGTTAAAAACTTGACCACTACATTTTGGATAGATCACTTTGAAAGTCTAATTGCTCATGTGGTTGAATATTTTTGAACAGCCACAAAAGACCCCTTTGTCTACTGATCAAGCATGATTGTTATGGGTCGTGTTGTTAGAAAGTGCACCAAAACAAGTTAGATCACTTTAACCTTGCATAACTTAATTACCATTGTAAAAAGTTTTTATATTGTTTCTATAACATTATGAAAAACAGAAACCTGAACATTATTAAGTAGAATGCAAACTAGAATAAGCTTGATAATAAAAAATAATGTAAATTAGATAAAGGAATATGAGGTAAATTACCTAATGGTAAATTAGGGATAATGGAATATAATTAATGTCTTCAATCATAATATATAATTTAACATCTTAGCAACTACATAACAACATGTTTCCATTGCAGTGTAAAATATGGTTGTGCTCCTGATACAAATTGGTTTATTCACCTTTTTTTAATTTTAAATCTACAGGATGATTCATGGAGGTCAACTTCTAAATGGTTTAGCTGGTCCTACTGTTATGAGTGCCGCCCCTCTTCTCTCTACTACTTGGTTTGCTCCTGATCAGAGAGCTACAGCCACCGCTATTGCATCACTAATCAGTTACCTGGGATCAGCCTGTGCCTTTCTGATTGGTCCACTGGCCGTCCCTGCACCCAATGACACTGAGAAATTGGGAAACGTCATCTACTGGAACCAAAACCACATAGGAAACAGGATACAGTTTGTTCTTTACACAGGTAAGATGTTGTCTGCTGACAATCCAACAGCAGCATTCATTCTGAATCAATATTGAATTATTTCAAGCATTTGCCATACAGAAAAGCAATCACAAGAAAGCCATCCATGCTAGCTCTCCAAATACCACAATCAAACGTCCTAACGTGGTTTGGGTTCACCCCACTGTAAAGATTTCCTCGCATTGTTCTGCTTAACTGATTCAGAAAATTAAAACATTTTCAAAGAGAGAGAGGGAAATCTTGCCAGTAATAGATTGATACTCTGTTTAAGTTGAAAGATGTTGCCGTTACTTCCATACATACTCGCATACACACACACACACACACACACACACACACACACACACACAGACAAAAAGACATTGATTTGCTGCTTGTTCAGAGGTCATTGGAACACTTGCTGCAACATCAAGATGCATCCACATGCACTAGATTTTCACACACTTAATTAAAGACAAAAACTTGAGATGCAGTGATTTGTCAAGTGTAATAAAACCATTAGAGAAGAATGCTATATTAGTGTATACCATGTGGATGTACAATCTTTAACTTTGCTATGCTTTGAAACTACTGAAGGAGTTCTAATACATGATTTTTGCACAACTAACATTCTGTCAATTGGAGGCACTGCCTTTATACAGTTAAGGTCATTTATTTAAAAAAAAGAAACTCTATAGACTTTCAAATGTAATTCAGTTGATGCTGATTGCTCTCATAATTGTATTTTCACTCCATGAATAGACTTTTTTTAATGTGCTTTCTGACATTTTTTTAGAGTGCAAATGCAGTTGGACCTGGAACTTGTCATTTTGAGACTTTCTGAACATATGCATTCATTATCAGGAGCACAATACAAAACCTGCTTCCCTCAGTCATATAATCATTTGGAGAAGTGATTTCTACTTTGCATTTAAAACGGATTAGATACTCTGACATGCAGATCTGACAGTTTGACAAAATCAACCACCCTTTGATCTGTTTTCTTGTTTTCCTGGTCTGGTATAAAAAAAGTTGGTAATGCGCTCATTTGTTTGTTTTATATTTACTTTCTATTCGTATAGATAAAGGAGACTTTTAAATAGGTCTTCTGATAAAACTTTTTTGGCAAACTTTTTTCATCTTTACTTTAAATATTCAATATATACTTTACAATATTCAATCATTTAATATATTGTGATGATCAACATGCACAATATTGATATTGTAGGCACTTTAAAATACCATGCATATTTATTATTTAAACTTTTTAAGAATATTCACATTGTATTTGCATTGGTTTTCATAATGGCCTACTACTTGAAGAAATGTTGATTGAATATCCTTTAACTCTGTGGTCCTCAACCCCTGAGCTGCGGACCGGTACTTGTCAGTGGATCAATTGATACCGGGTTGCACATGAAATAATTAATTACTTCTGTTTTATTTATTATCTAAGTGTGAATGACAAATTCTATTTTGAAAAATTACTGTTTTAAACACCAAAATTTAACCCACAAGCGAGTAAAATGAGTAAGAAATCGACATCTTTGTACAGTTTGTTTGTGAAGAGGAAAAGGTCCAGTGAAGGACCCATGAACTGCCAAGGAATGGATCCGCAACCCGATTATCGGAAATCAGGTGAATCTTGCATGTCTGTGCAAAAAGAAGGTTGACTGCTGTAAATGATGGCGGGTGTTTGCATATTGCGTCTTTTCCACACACTAGTTTGTTATTTCCAATGGAGGCGCGCAGCTTGTGCGCACGAATTGGGAGCAAGGCATATTTGTATGGACATATGCGATGTGATGCATATTTTGTATGGAATATATACATTTCAGATTACATTTTGTATTGAATATACACATAATCAACCCCCCCAGGTAAAATTGTCAAGTGTTGACTGGTCTCAAGTGACAAAAAGGTTGGGAACCACTGCTTTAACTGTTTATAGGGTTATTGTACAATGTTAAAAAGGATTTAAAAAGTATTTTTTATTATGCCTGTTAAAGTAACTTTTCTTCGCCACTTAGGTCAGTGTTGTAATAATATTGTAAGCTATGATTAAATGGTTTAGTAATTAATAATATTTCACTTTGACTTTAGTTCAATTTAATGTGTTCTTGCTGAATGATAGTATTCATTTCTTTCATAAGATCTTCCTGAACCCAAACTCTTAAACAGGGGTTTATAACTTGTTTTACTTGAGATTAAATGATTCATCTGTGATATAAGATTTTTGTCCCAACCATATGCAATCCAGCTTAATGAATCCATATTTTACAACAGAAATGGCAGATTTATGGAAACCATACTATAGGAATTAAGTAGCTGAATTAAAGTGCTACCTGTTCCTGCAAAAAACTGCACTTATTTTATCATGTGGACGGCACTCGGGAGGACACAAAATTTAATAACTCTGCTGGCAATGTCAGTGTATCCAGTTTGAAATACGGTGTGCCAACAGGTTTTTTTCATGCTTGGCTACAGCAATAATGAACTTGGTCACACTGTCACAAATTCCAGCACTGGATGAGCTCGATGGAAAGCAGGAGGGTTAATGAGCTGATCAGTTGTTTCATTGTGCATTTCCTCCCTCTACAGGATTGCAATAAATCTGCTCGACTCGTGGTTAACTCTAGATTAATGTGAGCCATCTAATGACCGTTAATGATGTTGGTTTGGATACTTCTCTCTCGCTCTCATTAATTTGAATTTAGTATCTGAAAATTGCACTGAAATGCCAGACCCGTTAAGCTCTTTTTCTAATTAACCGAGATAGATTGAGTCTGAATCCGTAAATTCTTTGCGAGATTTGATGTTGACACCAGAGCCTCATGATAAATGTTGTGTGTCTGTTTTTTTGTGATCTTGCAGAGTTTGGGATGATTGCAGCACTTTTCGTGGCTGTGCTGTTCTACTTCCCGTCCAGGCCCCCGATCCCTCCTAGCGTGGCAGCGGCTAGTCAGCGTCTCAGCTACAGGAGCAGCATCTGCAGACTGCTGAGGTATAACAATGCCCTTACTTAGCAGTCTGATCTAACTGTTTTGAAAAGAGAAGAGCTAAAGGCAGGAGGGTTAAGAAGTGGAAATAGTTCACACAAAACGGAAAGTAATTGTTGATCACAGCTGACAAGCACAAAGAAGCTCAGCTGAGAAGCACAAAAGTAAGCCGGATGACTTGAGTGCTGTATTTTAAGTTTTTTAAGCATACGTGAGCTAAGCACTGTATTTTAAGTCTTAAACATACACAGAGAAAGATTTCTGCAAAGATACTGTGGAGTTTATTGATTCTTGAGTGAAACACATCATTCCAGGTTTAAATTCAGAAGCACATACAGTATGAGATCTAAATTCTACAGTACAGTGAGTTATTACTTTAGGCTTGTAAATAGTTGAAACAGATCTATTTAAACCGCAATATTTACAAAAGTGTCTCCAGAATGTGTCTGTAAAGTTTCAGCTCAAAATACCCATCAGATCATTTATCATAGCCTACAGAATCTGCCCATTTTCGTGTCCGAATTCATTGTAGCTGTTTTTGTAGCCCGTGGCATTAAATGCAAATCAGCTGCTTCTCGCTGCCCACCGTTCCTACGTGCGTGTCTGCGTCTCGTCATGCGATACGTCAGATGAACGGCACGGTGACAGAGACAGACTCGGATGAAGCTGTAATACAGCTCAATAGTTAAAAATACCAAATAACTTTAATTCATGTATTTGTGGTAGTTTATTCAAGCCTTTCTGAAACGATGAGTCACACACAAATGCTGTTTGCAGTACACGCACATTAGCATTTACTAACACCATGCAGCTGTGGTGATTATTGTGATTAAGAATTACTTAGCGATTTTACTGCCTTTATTACAAACAGGCTCTGTTTTAAAAACATTATAAGTTTTTAAAAATCAGAGAGAGTTGGAACAGATATTTTAAACCCAGTTTCTTTGCAAAAAAAAAAATTTACACATTTTATTATGCAAATATGATGCCTGTCAATCAATTCGGTGTGTGTGAAAAACCACACTCTTGTGTCATGTTGCAGTGGGCCTCAAAATCACTGGAGTTTGGGTCCCATTTTAACGTCAAGAAATTTTTGAAAAAAGAGACTTGTTGGGTTTATATCACTTCGATATGACAGTGGACACACTATACATTTAAATGCATTTTTTATTTATTAATTTTACCAGGAATTTACCATTGAGATATGCATCTCTTCTATCCGGCCAAAATGACAGCACAAAAAGTTTCAGATACAAAAATACACATACAAAAAATATCACAAATTAAAATTTACACAAAACGTTCAGATGATTTTCCCATGTAAGACGTTAAACGATTTTTAAAAATATTCAGAGATGGAATTGTTTCTAACATAACACTCTGCATTTATTTCCATAATGTTGGGCCAAAGGAGGAAAACACTGTTTCACCAAACTCCGTACACACTCTAGTAACAGTTAAATGTAATTTATAAGAATTTTGTGTACTATAGCTACAAAGATAACATGTTAAAAGGTTACAAACATAAGATAGCAATATACCCAATAATGCCCCAGCGGTGAATAGAAGCATGTGCATTTTTCTCCTTCAGTGCAGGGAAAACCGTCCAACCATTTTGTAAAAAATAAAATAAACATCAAGATGCATTCTTCACAAATCATATTGCAGCATGATGTATACTGTCCAGCATTTTTAATAATAACAAATTTGCATGCCTAGAAAATACATCTCCATAATGTATCACTGAAAGGAAACCACTTTTTATAATTCTTTTTCTTGCTTCGAGAGGAAGGCACTTCTTAATACGAAAAAGAAAACCCAATCTAGGCCTGAGCTTATTTCAATATGAATATTTAAACCCAATCGTTCATTAAGCCATAAGCCCAAATATTTATAACTGTTTACTTTACTTTGTTTCTGCTTCTCCTTTTCTTAAAACATTCTATGCTATTTCAGGCAATCCCTACTTATAAAACACTGAAAACATGGAATGTCCGAAAAATCTTCCATTATTGAGGAAGCTTTGTGTCACAAATGATGGAAAATTCTATTAGGGAAGTAAGATCTCAGGACAAGAGCTACAGACTTTAAAAAGCCTGAATCACAGTAATTGAAAATACATTTATAGCTTGAACATCAGTGTTTCTCATTAGCATTCAAAAAGATGCTTTGCTGGATATATTTACAGTACACTGACACAACAATGGACATCTGTTTTTTTAGGGGTTTTGTAACCATCTCCCTCATCTCTGAACAGCCTCTAAGGTTTTTCTGTTGCTTTTACAAAAGAGAATCTTAATGAACAGGGTCTTGCCATTTCGCCACTCACCATATGCCACGGTTGTCATTTAATACAGATCAAAGACATGATCCTCTCTCTGCAGATTAATTACCCGTCCTTATGATGCCACATGCTGACCATCCTTAATAAATACAACATCTTGATCTGTACATTTAGCTACCCAGTGTTGCCTATTGTGACCACAGTGCCATATTTTTATGCCTCTTGATGTAATGTCGCCCACGATGCTCTGGGCATTTGCAGTATTCACAGATCAGAGGAAGCCATTCCTGCTTTAAATGCATTCTCACATCAACACTAGAGGAATTGGCTGAAATCTGTGGACTGGAAAGGCCTGTTGAGCGTCCACTGTTGTGGAGAGTCTGTAGTTCGACCCCCTCTGAGGAACGCCAGAACTTTCCCACTCACAGAGCTGAAAGCAACGAGAAAAACAATCATGAATGGACGGAGTCACCCCATAGAGACTGTAATGCTGTCTGGAGTCCCACCGATAGGCAGAGTTCCAGTAGCCGTCTCACATTTGTATCTGAATGAGGCGGTGGATTGGTACAGCTCTGTAAAACAGTTAGTCTATGGGGACAGTGCATTGGATACAGAGCGGGGTCGTGTCATCTTGATCTCATTTGAGTTTCAGACTCTGAACTCCCAAGTCCTTGGCTCACCTGGCTTAGTAAAGCTTCAACATAGTTTGAGCTTGATTTGTTCTTTTACAGGAACTATTATCCAGAGTTTGATTACTGTGCTAACAGTGATGAAAGAGTGGTATTAGTATTGATGGACTTGCCATTAAAAATGGTCGCCTCTTGCAAAATCCTCATTTTGGGTTATAAGATCCCAACAGGGCCTGCCAAGGACAAATGGCACTTAGCTGATGATCTTTCTGGCTTGATGGCTCCCCTGAATCTGTCAAAAAAGCAAAGAAAGGCTTTCTCATATCCCATAATCTAAATAAGCTCTTGGTGGGGAAAAAGTGCATAGATATCGATTTTCCTCCAGCCGTGAGGTTAATGAAACGGGTACAGTTTGGAGAAAGGGTTCTCCATCAACGCTTTCTATTTTTTTTTTCGTTTGCCCTCTTCAAGGGCTCTCTACACACTTTGTTTTTCAATAGACTGGTTGTAAATGGTAGAACTTCCTTCACACCCAGTGATTCACACTTGGAGATAATTATGAGTAGCGAGATATGTACATTGAATTTTCTACACATAGCTGCAGGTGCATTTATTTTAGATCTGGTTCATTTGTGAACATAATTCGCACCTTTTCATCCACCTGGTCAAATTCATTAAAATAAAACGCTACTTCTCGTAGCTGCTTTCAGAAATAAATTGTCTCTGGAAAGTAGCTTACATTTTTAGAGTCTCAGCAGATCCACCACAGGAAAGTGCAAGAAGAGTTGGTTTTTGTATTAAAACAATTGATTTCATTAAATTAGGGATGCAGCCATAAGAATTTTTTGGCCGATATCGACAAACGATAACTCTTAAGAGTTGGAGGCCTATAGCAGATAAATATAAATATTTCAAAATGTTATATTTTTATACAGTAACAACAGATTTTATTTTAAAAACTTTAAAAAAAAGTTTGAAATACTCTTATGAATTCAATAGCCTATTCAAAGCTATAAATTTAAAATTGCACAGGGTCCCCGCGGGTCCTTAAAAAGTCTTAAAATGTCTTAAATAAAACTTTCGATTTTTAAGGTCTGAAAATGTCTTAAATTCTGTAATTTTCCATAAGGAGGTCTTAAATTTCATGTGGGATCTTAAATATCATCTCCGACTCGTCTTATGGCGGCAAATCAATGCCAATATAAATCGAGCGCAGCGGTGATGTTTGCGCGTGAGGAGAAGTGAACCGTGAGCAGATTACAGGTCTACACGCGAGAAAATTACAGCTCGCGAGCGCACAGGGGATCTTCACGCGCGCGCTCAACTGATCCAGCGCGAGAAAACAAGTCCCGCGCGTGCACATTATCATCTGTGCGCACGATGTACGCTCTCGCGAGCAAGGTCATGCCTACAGCGCGCGCGCGATCAGTTCTCTCCGCTCGCTCGCTGGTTCTTCTCTGCTCGCGCGAAACAGTTTAGATTTTTGTGAGTCCTAGGGCGGGACTTGGTTTTCTTGTTATCTCTAACGCTATTGGCTACTCTACCTTTCCAGAAGTTAGCCGGGATTGGACGCAGGTAAGCTAGTTTCCCCGTTAAATAAAAATATACAGGATATCTTATCATAATGTCACAGTGTGAAACTAATAGACTTACTTTCTCTGTAATAATAGGTGGAGACTTACTTTCAATAATGAGATATTTTTTGTAATAATTAATCTCATAATAATGCCTATTCTTACCATCATGACCAAGTCATATAATGACATATCAAAATAATGAGATATATTTCTGTAACAAACTTTATTACTTGGGAGAGAAAGAGAGAGTTATACCATGTGGCAAAAGATCTCTCCATTAAACAGAAATTGGGGAAAATATACATGGGCTATTAAATCAGGACGAATAATTCAGACTTTAAATGTGTTTTGAACCATTTGATGAAGTTTAGCACCTACATTTAAACTGAACTCAAACTAAACGTGTTCAAATTTACAAAAATCTTTTTTTTTTCTAAGATTCATTGTCCTTGACTCATTTTCTGTGAAGAACAAGTCAGAATAAATTGGATGGACAATAGTATACAAAATAGGCT